AGATGAGTTGGCTGCTGTGTACGTCCCCAGACGAATTCATCTAGAATGTTCGTACAGTGTTGCCACTACGATGTAAACTACCAATTGAAACTTCTACAGTGCGGTATACTATAAGGAATTAATTAATTCTAAAATCTTGTTTATATAGGATACATATGTACATAGTACATACCTACAAGCCTATGCATTTAACACTGCAACTGCCACACCAGTCAAAATGACTGGTTTCGATTGTTTTGTTCCACAATTATTGATATTTTAAATTGATATTTGAAATGATCTTGAAACTAAATATTTTTACTTAACACGTTCCAGCGGTTATTTCGGTGTCGGTGTCCTCAATAATAATATTTTCTTCAATCGAATAAATCTTCTAAACAAAATATTAGAAAACTGAAACTGAAACGAGTCATTGAGTTCCTAAATATAATGTCGTAGTTTATAATTTCTAATAACAATATCTATAGGATTCATTTCATTTTCATTATGTAAAATATAGGATTACGACCGTCGCAAATATGTGACGCTGGTAACGAACGTGTTAAATACTATAATAAATGTCTGAAGAAATTGAAAATAGTCTATTGTCACAATTTTTATAGGGATTGCATATAAATACTTGGTAGTTCTAGTGTTAAGGATAGTGCAAATATTATCTTAGTAGCAAGTATACACAGCGAAAACATGCGAGCAAAGTATGTAAATTTTCGACACAACAGTCGGTCATATTTGCTCTGCGTTCGTTATTATAGGATACTCCATCGTATTTCCTTTATTTTGTTCCTGAATCGTTCACGATAAACGTAGAAACCGGTCACGCGAAAGCGCTGGAATAAATTTTACGTTGAAAGCAAATAAAATTCGTAGGAACTTATTTGTGGCATTCGTCGCCGGGGATCAATTATGCTAATCGGTAGAGGCGGCCGTAGGCACGCGCGACGCATTCCTGGAGATTTCAATGGAAACTGTGTCAGTCGGTATGAAAGACCTTATACGCATGGCAATCCGTTAGAGATCCGTGTGTTCTTTTTCTAGTGTGAAATGAAATCAAACGGCGCGCAGAAAGCCACCGCAGCCTGAGCAATTAGGGTTTAATTATGCTCGACACCTGGCTCGCATGGCAACGAGGTTCTCGTTTTTCATACAGAAGCTTCGCAAACGAACCTGGTGTCAAACACAGACGACATTTTTTCTCTGTAAATAGAACACCTCCGCTTAAAACGTCGACATTGGATTATTTACATGAACAGAAATTGTTTCAACGTTGATTATAATCAACAAGTGTTCTTACTTCACCGATGACCCTTATGTACTCATATGTGTTAACGTACGTGACGGTATTGAATGGCACAAGTGCATAAGTTATAAATTCAAAGTAACGTATTGTAATCTAGTTGTGCAGTACATTTGCTTGCGCTGTTCATTGGAAAGCGTATGCCGCAGAACTCTTGCAACTCTTAAAATACTTGCTCAATACTTTTTGCGCCGATCGTCGTCGGTTAACAATTGCAAGAAGAAAATGAATGGGCACGCGTCAATTGTTATGAAAGAATGCAACGTCGGTCACAACTGACACAGTTTCCATTAAATCTTCGTTCATCAATAATTAATACGTCGTTACCTGTCACGCGGTACATTTATGTGATTATACGTTCAGTCTGTGTTTACTAATGAAACATTGTAATTAAGCAGGGTGGAGCGGGCAGAGAAACAATTATCCCCACTCGCGTGTCCCACAATATTCTTTAAAATTCAGTCACGAAACATGACCTAAAAATAATTCCCAGCGCCTAACCGTCAACGAATAATTACATAAATTTTTTTTTAATCATTTTCAAACCTCAATGAACATTGAACACGAAATTCCACGATGAAACAAGGAAAAGATTGACGATACCGAACGAATTTTCATTTTCTTTTTATATACAAAATAATAATAAATCTTCTTATTATCGCGTGGATGATTTTGATTGAATACATTTTATAGTGACGTGATTTTCAGTGACGTGACAGGAATTTCATTGACGAAGCAGTGCGGCTTCACACCTTCAACGGTTCTCATTAATTCTTGGCCGTGAGGCGCGACGGAAAAGCAGACGGAAACGATTTCTCCGGATCCCGGCTTTTCTCACGATCGTCGATCACGCGAGCGTCCTTGGTTCTAGAACAGCAGTCGCTGCCGCTTGCGAAACGCCCGCCGCGGACCGTCCGTTTCCACTTAACGGTAGCCCGATGGAAACGGATCACGAGGTCGCCCCTCGAAGACGTTTAATTTAATTTCCCACGTGAATTCAATCTGATGATCACGCGTACCTTGGATCGTCAACGATCAATCGGGCGTGTGCGCTCGGCGCATCAACAAACTAAACGGGGAAACGCGAAGGAGACGAGGCGGCACGCGAACCAAGTATAATGGCTCCTGCGTTGGAAGACCTCGCGCGGATTTCGCGATTTCCTCCGGCCGATATTTATAGCCCGTGAACGGATACTATGTTCGCCGAAGATGAAAATTATTATTGTATCCGCTTTACGATGCATCGCCGTGATTTATAAACTAAACTGGTACGTGAAAAACGAACCTGACATCTGTTGGCAGTGATTGCCACAGTTGACTAAATTATTCGGGTGATCATAATTTAGATCGTTAAGTATACCGACTGGTGGCTCATTAGATATTAAATTTAATATTTACTCAATAAAAATGCGGTTGCCACTAGGTTGAAGAGAATGGCTGGATGTTGATGAATTCATCAAGCGTAATTATGCACTGATGTAATATGTAATATTAACATATGCAATATATAAATTGAACAGTCAAACACGTTTCACGTTCGACGAATTGTTTTTCAGTACGGTGCAGCAATTGTATAAATTACTTAGCAATTTACTGAAGTGTAACAGTTATTAGGTGACAAAAAAGATATTGGCCTCTTTGAAATATGTAAAGTTGTAGTTTGCAATTCAAACGAGGCTCATTATCTGAAGCTATCGTGTCCAACAGTTTCTCCGTGTCTTCCTATTTTTTTGTTTTGTGAGGTCACCGAATGCTAAAAGGATATAGCAGACGTAACCTCTTTTGCGCGTACGTGACTGAGCTTTCATCGATTCGACACGTTAAAACACACGTATCGATGCCGCTGTGTTTGCGTATCAAGTGTCAGTTGTACATATTTTTCAGGGAAGTAGAAGGGCCGACCGGATAATAAAAGGAAAGCTCGTCTGGTAATTGGATAAGGTGAAGCCCCGCCGCTTTGTGCCGATCTGCTTTCTGTGTCAGCAGCTACCGGCGAGATTCCGTCCCAGCTGAAGACCTTACGGTCGTTGAGATCACTGGCGCGTCAAGATAACCCTTTTTCTCCGCGCTTTCATCGATATTAATCGTTTCCGGATCGATCACGTCAAACCATATCCGCCGCGATCATTCTCGATCGCAACAGATACCGCGTAATCGAGCTTCGCCGTGATTTGCATAATGAATTGTTTGATGTTATCGCTACTCCGGCGGCAGGAACGTTCGCGCGAAGATCGATCGCCCAGTTTTTCCCCTGTGCTACGAACTCGAATGTCCGTAAACCTCCTTAGAGGTGCCCTTCAACTGTCTTTCCAATTGTTTTCGTTTCCCACGTAATTTTTTGTTCAACCAGATGCCATACGCTAAGACGCGCGGTACCGTTAGGCGACGCGTAACTGATGTTCCCTGGGTGACATGATTTGTATTAAAATCAGCGTAACCCGATCTGTTGCTGGTCTCACGGTTTATGTTTAGCAAGACCTAACATAGAATTCACGTGGCAGCTGGTTTTAGCTTAAACTGTTCGCTGGGAACAGTAAAACCGTTATCCTCCCTTGTCTTAGCGCCGATGGTTCTGCACCTTACAATAACGATGCTCTACAACTTCCGGGAACCAAAGGATTCTTAATAGCTGACGAGTGTTTTCCGTTACGTTAACGTTCAAAATACTAATTTATTGTATCTCCATGAAACAACAATAAATTATGAATTTATACCAGTAAACTATTATTACAAGTCATTATTATTATTATTATTATTATATTCTTTTGTATATCGATTTATATACAACAAAGTATAAATTCGTTAGAGTTGATACTATAAGTCATCCATCTGAATGATACAGACGTTTATCTACGTTTGATGTAATGATTTTCGTAGGAAAAATATAACTCGCCGAAAGTAATAGTAACAATTATACTATGCATACTATTATGCAAATATGGAAATGGAAAGGGTCAAGAACCAGGAAAGTGTCTCCATTCGGAGGAATGAAAGTGAAGGCTGCAAACGACTCCGCGGGATAGATGGCGCCACTTGTCGGGATCGTCTGAACGAAACATTGTAAATCGCGAGGAGTAGACCGTTCGTGGATATTGAAAGTTGAAACATTTAAAATAATCCAGGTTGACGAAAAGGGAACGAGGAAGCGAAATGCGGTGGAAATGGGGGGGGAGGGAGCATGCGATCGCCGAGTGCTCCCGAAATCAGTTTATTTTGGTCCACGGCCATCGGCCACGTTAGGTGCACGTTTCCTTGCGAAATCGGTTTTGTATATTAATGGTACACTTACTGCTCAAGATGCCTGCCCGCTGGATTATTTCTGGGATTAGTTATTATCCTGAAAATATCGACTCCGTGTAACACATAGGTGGCGCCCTCCACGCACACCATGCGTTGAATAGCACCGCGCATTACATAAATGGAAAAACCGAAAGTTAATGATTTTCGTGAGGTTGTTGGACCAACAAGAATTAATAAACATTTTCATTCTACGATTACATATTCGTCATTCCAGTCAGAATCCACTATGTCATTAAACGAATTGCGCACAGTGACGAGCTGCAACGATTGCAATCACGAACGCGAAAATTGCACGCGTAATTATTGTTTCTCGTCGCGTGACAAGTAATAATTCTTTGCCACGTTAATGTCACGATGACCTGTTTTACACTGGCTTGCGGTTCAATGATCCTACGACTGTTTACAGGTTCAGCAGTACCTAAGAGACATGAAGGAACATTCAGCCTCGTCCCGATTTGAAGGCAGAGATGTACCCCAACGGTCGCAGAGCAGCGCGGCCAGCCTGATGTCCTTAGGTGCTGACATATCTCCTAGTTCTTCCCATTTCTTTGAGGTAATCCCTGTTTCCCTGTTCAGGCTGAATGAAAGCATAGGATACTCCATGTGTAGTTTTCTTGTAGTTCGTTATATTAAACATGGACAACCCTTATGTAGCACGAACAGTTTCATCGTACGTTTTGGTTGAAGTAAACGGTGAATCCGCGTGACCGATAATTGACGGTAGCCTGACAATACAATCCGATTGATTGCATTAACACTATTTCTACCGAAACTGTTAAAGGACACCTTTCGAATTTTGAACTTAAAATTATTTTCCGAGTTTAGGTGTATATTCTGAATTAACTTTCCGACTTCTTCAGTAACAATTATAAAATTAACTACAGGAAATGTCCAAAATTCAATTGAGGAAAAATGATTAAACTAAGAAAATCATTTTAAGTTAAACTTTCAAAAGGTGTCTATGGACACCTTCGGTAGAGATAGTGTTAACACGTTCGCTACCAGTGTTTATTTCGGTGAGGACCTCCTCAATTGTAATATTTTATTCAATCCAATAAATCTAAACAAAATATCGAAGAAATGAAACTAGAACAAGTTATTGAGTTCCTAAATATATTGCCGTAGCTTATAACTTTAAATAACAATATCTGTAAGATTAATTTCATTCGCTTTATGTGTTAATATTATCATTGACTTTGGGAAAATGAGTTATATTCGTTTTCGTGAAAATGGCGGGTAAAAGCTTGCCAAGTACGCTCGTACTCGATACTGTCGCGCTAGTACAAGTTGACTGGTCAAGGTCATCCTGCGTTTCCCCCACGAAAACTCTTCGCGCGCCATTTATCTCGTGTTGAAACTGTGATTAACATAAGATCTGTTTGATTATGTAACATCGGTTAAGATAAGATTATTTATGATTAAAATGTTGTGCTTTATACTAATCAACGTTCGTTTTCAGGTACTTTATCTTGGAAAAATTAAAGTGGCTGATGTGAAGGTATCGGAGACCTTTACCGACGACGCGATCGTACGGCTTCATGTTCACGGTCTCGAGAAATCGAGATCGACGGCGAGTAATCTTCTCGTCGAGTATCAGCGTCAATCAATTCTCACGTCTTCCAATAACAGGAGGAACAGCGTGGTGAGTTAATTGTCGGTTAACACTGGTCAAACGCGACTGTTAAACCGTTTCTACGTATGCAAATTGATTTTGAACGTTTGGCTACAGGAATCCAGCGCCAGCGAAACAGGAAGCATAGAGAATGTCTCAGGAAGCGGCATCATATCACAGGTTAATTCGCTGGGAGTACCGTCAACGCTCACCGGCTCCGTGGAGACCTTTCTAAAGCCGCAAAATGCGAGTCTCGCGGAGAAAGACGAATCCGAGGAAAATCGGGACGTTGTGAACAACAATTCCATGCAAGTGCCAGAAGTTATGCGCAACCGGGCGTCATCTACTGGCAGCGTGTTGAATTCTAGGAGAGGTTCCCTGGCGAAAGCCACTGACGAGCACAACCGTACAATGCTCTTTCAGGTGGAGAAATTGTTTAATGTAAAAGGGCAAAGAGTGTGAAGTTAGATGAAATAAATATTTTGCTTTGCACCCTGAAAAAATGTTTAAGAAGTTTCCTGATTGGGCTCGTTGAATTGTAGGTTGGTCGACATGATTTAAGATTGATCAGTCCAGACAGGAAGCAGGTGATTCTGTATAAACAATTGAGAGATGTGCAGGAGGCACGTTGCGTGAAGGGTATTAAGAATCCGGAACACTTTGGTTTTATTTGCAAGGAGAATAATATATACTTTACCGGCTATGTGTTCAAGTGCCAGTCGGAGTCAATTGCGGATGACCTTGTAGCTGGTACGTCAACCGCTGTAACATTCCATTAAAAAAAGAATATCTGGAAAAAATTAGGGGAATTTAAAAAGAAATATTTTTAACGAATATTATTAAAATTTTCATTCCCTTTTCCAGCCATTTCGCAAGCAATTGTTAGTACATGCGATGTTCCAAGAAAAAAAGGATACCCCGTGGTTTCGTGCGAACACTGCCCCATGTATTGGTACAACAAGTTGTGCCAGGAAATCGAAGGTAATTTACCGGCGCGCATTTTTACTTCCAAGGAAACTGCCAGTCGACCGGATCTAATGAGTTCGCGTGTCTCGTTCGGGTTTTCTAGGACAGAATGATAAAAGCACTCAGAGCATAATTTTCTCACGAATTGTACTGCTGCCTGAAGACGAACAGGAGATCGTAGTCAACGAGTATAAAAGTGCCGAGTCCGCTGGCGGCACCGGGACGACTTTGCGCGAGCAAAATCAGTTTTTAATGAGGCTGTTACGCGGTCACTGTCAGGCGAAACAAGCCAGACATGTTCACGATACGGCTGAGAACAGGTAAGATTCTTTTTTTGTTTATAAGACATTTTGTTTGTGGCATTTTCACTCTTCAGAAGTTTGAATAAAAAGTGAGATTATTCAGAGGATAAGATGTATAATGAAAAAGTAGGTTACATACAAATTAATAACTATATTCAATGTGGTGGGTGTTATAGGAGCGAGTTTCTAAGTCAGCACTTAAGTGTAGGCGTCGGAAGCACAATATTCATGAAAGCAAAGCGATCGCTTACTAATAGTTTTGATAATCTAATGAAGAGGAAGGGTTCGCGGGACGACCTTGGTCTTATTTCACATTTAAAGGACACAGGTCATCTTAACACTGTAATAAAAAGCGGTAGCCAAAGCCCAGATATATCGCGTCATCCATCCATAGTGGACATATCTCCGGACTCCTCCAGTAGACCAAGGTCATTGAGAGTTTCCCCTGAACAACAACTGACTGTGAATACTGGACCAAAGAGTTCGATGATGGACATGTATGTAAATTCCTCTAGAAGAATTTTAAATCCATAAAAAGAGTTTCTTTTTGAAACGTGAATAATATCATATTCTCTCTTTTTTTGTAGTTTCCTAAAGGTAGGTAATTCACCAAAAATGTCACCAACGGAAGCAGATGGTAACAACTCTGTAGCAAACAATTCTTGGAGGCAAGTGATATTGAACCGTATTGTAACTCCTAATAAAGAACACGAGAAAGAGAACGATAAGATAGTAAATATTAATATCACGAAGACACCTCAAGCACCTGCGAAACGTAGAACGAAACAAGAATTAAGAGATCTCTGGAAAAAAGCGATAAATGAACAATTGATACTGATTAGAATGGAAAAGGAGAACGCGAGGCTCAGGGGTACTTTTCACTACTATTTCCGTTGAAAGTAAATTGTTTCTTGTAGTCAAATATATAATTCGGTTATATATTTCAGTGCGTCAAGAAGAAACAATAGTTAAAAGAATTAAATTGGAATACGACGAACTCAGTAGTTGTGCTCGTGAATCAGTGGAAGTATGGGATCTTCTTGTTAGTAAAGAGTCCAGAATCTCTACGAAATGTGATAATCAAATGCTGTTACAAGCTATAAAACAAGGTACATAATCATGATCATGTGTTTAATGGAATGATTTTATTGATTCAGTTTATGATAAACATTTATTTTGGTGTAGGTGTACCAAAAGGAAAACGAGGAGACGTGTGGCAATTCCTAGCTGAACAATTTTGCTTGAAGCAGTCTCCAATAGATACGCGCGGTTTCCCTAATTACAATACTCCATACGATCGACTTCTCAAACAACTCACGTCTCAGCAGCATGCTATTCTTATTGATCTGGGTCGAACATTTCCAAATCACACGTATTTCAGTTCTGCCTTAGGACCTGGACAATTAGCATTGTTCAATTTGTTAAAGGCGTACTCTTTACTAGATCATGAAGTTGGCTATTGTCAAGGGCTCTCTTTTGTTGCTGGCGTTCTTTTACTACATGTAAGTAGTACTATAGAAAACAAACCAAATACACGTGCTAAAATTAAAATATAATTTTTGCTTATTTACGACTTGATATTATCTTTAAACAGATGTCCGAAGATCAAGCGTTTTTCTTATTACGCCATTTAATGTTCCGAAGGGGTCTAAGGAAATTATACCTGCCAGACATGGCGGCATTACAGTTATACCTGTACCAATTGTCTAGATTATTACACGATAAATTACCAGCGATTTATGATCATTTTGATAAGCACGAAGTCTCGCCTACATTGTATGCGGCACCGTGGTTGATGACTTTATTCGCAAGCCGATTTCCATTGGGTTTTGTGACCAGAGTTTTCGGTAATTAAAATTGTCATTTCATTATATATTTGTAGCAACTTAAATGCATTATATTTCATATATTTATGTTCACAGATTTACTTTTCCTCGAAAACATAGATGTACTTTTCCGAGTATCAATGGCATTGTTGGAGGAGCATCAAGATCAGTTATTGCAGTGTGAAAATTTCGAAGAAATTATGGAATACTTGAAAGTGAGAGACAATTTTAGCGAATAACGGACATACAAACAAAAAGGATAGTTTTTAATTATTTCGTAATTGTAGACGCAGGTACCAGCTGTAGATAAAGAAATTCTGGATCGCGTGATGAAACGTGTGTTTCAACCTGATCATGAGATCACGAAGCAACTGAACGAGTACAGAGTAGAGTATCAAGTATTACAGGAAGAAATGGTGTCGGTCAAGTCGCAAATTGAGAATATGGAGAAAATGGAGCATGTGAACAAACAATTGACACAAGAAATCACGCATCTGAATGAACAACTCGAAGTGGGTTATAAGAAATTATACTGGCTGCTCTTTAGTTTTATTTCGATTAAGGTCCCTTTGGAAACTAACGAAAGTATGTTTTCAGATGACAGTGAGCAATCTCCATCGCTTGGAAACAGCGCGCTCGATGCAACAATCAACTCTCCATAAATTGGAGGCTCAAAACCGCAGACTCGAAGTAACCGTCACGACACTGGGCGACTTTGTCCAGCAATTATCTGATACCCGTCCAGACATCGAATTTCCGGGTGAGATTCGTCGAATAATAGCACAGTTGAGTCTCGCAGAGAAACGAAGGAATGTACCAGGAAGGTCATACCCGCTGAAAGTAATCGAAGATAATAATAGATTTGGGATGATTAAGAGTAATTCAACAGGGAGAGAATCTCACAATTACTTGAAGAATAACAACGTAGTAGAAGCACCGTATCCTCTGAAGTCCACATTAAGCCAACCGAATTTAGCTACCAAGCTCGAAAAGGTATCTTCGTTCTTCTACAACTCGCACAATCACATACAAAAGCAACGAGCACAATTGGCCGCCCTAAGAAGCGAGTACCCAATCGAGCAACCAGTTCGAAACGACGAGAACGATCCAAAGACGGTTAATATAGATATCCAAATCACTGACACAGTGAACTCGAGCAATGAGCAAATTGCGCAGAACGATAACAATCTAAAGATTGAGGAAGCTAATCTCGAGAAGTCGATCTCGCTACCATTGAATTCTAAAATGAAGTTGAAATCGTCGAAGTCTGCATACGAATTAGGATCAGTTAAAAAAGTACCAACCACCAAGCTAGAAGATACAACAGACGTCGATGTGGTGAATTTAGCGGGAACGATGCATCCGTTGGACACGTGTAGCGACGTGAACTTTAAATATGGTGGAACGACCAAGCTGAAGTCCATTAAATCTACCAGACTTCCGAGTCCTAGCGGACAGGAAGACAGCGTTAACAAGAACGCTCAAAACCAAAATGTAGAAACATTGAACAGATAACAATTACTGATGATGTTTCGTTCAAGGAAGATACCTTGGAAGGTAACTACCTTGAGGAAAGTATACCCCACAAACTAATAATAAACTGTACAGTGTGTTTCGTCCTGTTATTCTATCATACAGAATGTTCCATTTATCTTCGTATGCGAGTATTTTGTGCTATTACATATAACACAGATATTTCAAATAATCAAGACAAATGAAACATTCTGTACGCATACATACACTTTTGATACAATGATCGATTTTCATTTTTTAACAAACGTTGCCTGGGTGGATTGTCGATCGAACTGCCTGGGATCCATATTTCCCCTTTTACGATACTTATACCAATGATTTTAATACCTTATTGCGAGTGGAAGATTAGAGAGAATGAGAGAAACAGAGTCAATTTATAATATATTAAAATACGACTAGATGAGGATATTAGTATATAAATATATATATAAAGAAATTAGGATGAAGCTGTGAGATAAGTTAATGTCTACTAAAAATATTTATGTATTTCACATAGCGAGTATTAATTCTGACTAGTAGGAGAGAATATAGGGAACATTTACATGAATATATAATATATATACGAATTTGCCGATTATAAGAAATTTGTTTAAAATGACAGTAACACAAAAAGTTCAATACAACTGCGTAGTACGATAGAATTTTTAGTGAGCTATAAACTATAACATGTGCCGGTATTTGTCCATGTGTTACTGGTGCAAATCAAATTTCTTAGAGTCTAGCAAACCAAATCGTATTCGTGAGCATCAAAGTGTACTGTAGGTTATTGCAAAAATAATAGGAATTCGTTTAATATTCATAATGGATCTTTCGTTGGTAGCGCTAAATTATTCAATATTTTCATGGTTGAATGTTTACACTGTTTTAACGGTAAAACATGAGTCAAACTTCTAACGCTAGAATAACTATAGAAATTATATTATTGTCTCGAAAAAGAAAGTTCCTATTACTTTTGCGTAAACCATCGCGAAAAGTGCCAAACTCAAAAAAAAAGTATCAAGTATTGTGAATAGCTGATAGAGAAAAGAAGTTGTTTTATTAAACATCGGAGAACGTGTAACTATACCGTGTATAATTGGGAGACGCATATTTATAAAATATAATTTATAGACTTATTGTGCACTGATTCGAGGAATCAAGTATTACTATTTTTGCACAAAGTGAAGCCTTGTGATATCAGGGATATAACTAATGCCATTCAGCATTAATAACAGATCGTGTTACCATTTTTTCGATTATAAAAGAAATGCACAGTCGATGACTGTAATAAGAACGTAAAATTGTAATAATACTTAGTAACGTTCGCGGCGAGTGTTATTAAACGTTTGATTGTCATGATACTTATTCATTTGACTCGAAGTAAAAATATATTCTCAATCTCAACACCATTTCATATTGAAGAAAAATATGAGATTGAGAAGTACGTTCAGCAAACATTTATATAATAATCGTTAGGAACAATAAAATATTTTGTAGCGTTCAAATTTGTATCTTCCAATTAGTGATTTGTACGAATAGATTTTAGATATTAATTATGCATTGTGATTGAAAATACAGAGGTAAAAATATAACCCCACTTTTCGAACATTTGTAGACTCAATGGACATGTTGTTATTATTAATGTAGATATAGTCACAGATATTGTAAGTTCCTCCACCTGTATATTTCACCCTTTTTGAGGAGTAGTATTGTAAATGACAGAAAAAAAATCAAATACGAATTTATATGCATTAAAAAAATTCATACAATTTTTTTGAGTGATAGTGTCGAAAGTTTTCTCCTTTGTCACCATATACAACTTAAAAATTGAATTAAGGTTACTTAAATTTCTATTGAAAACCCAAAAATGTGGAACAGAAAAGCGTAAAAAGGTAAACTTCTGTAATAAATCCGCAAATTTTATTTTATTTCATTATACTGTAAGTGAATTAACAAATCAAAAAATGTGCAATTCACTTTTTGACAAGTAATGTTCTATTTTGTTTGCAAAATGTGCTGATAAGACATTCCTTTTTGTCTGTATATTATATACAATCCTCATAAAAGTTCACGTTAAAATTCTTAATGCTTTGACTTTGATATGCTAGTCCTGAAAAAAACAATCACATTTAAACGACAATAATTTGAAGTTGATATTTGATGCAAGAATGCGAAAGGTACTTACGTTTGCATTTGTTTACTGCCACTGAGAACTATATAGGGCGACTGAGTCTCTTTTTGTTTTGCTTGCAACAAATTGAGAGTACCCAGCGGCGTGTCTGTTGAGGACATCCGTTTCATTAGAACTTCTTGTTCTGCTTTCTTCATTCGTTTTTCAACCTAATAATTAAACAATTAAATTATTAATAAGCAACGCAGGTGAACTGTATATGTATACAGGTTAAAATTTTAACTTTTTTTCCATCTAACCTTATTCTTCCCTGGACCTTTTCCATGGAATTTATGAGAAAGATATCTGAATGCTTCCTTCGCGCTGAGGACATGTCCATCGTCATCGATATACTCCAGTTTAACATTCGGTTTGAAACCATCTTTCTCTTTAAATTCAGAGGTGGGACCGTTGAAACGATCTCTTCTGCCAAATTTTTCGTCATCTCTAAAATGACAAAGATAAAATGGATAAAATTATTTGAACATACAAGCACAGGATATAATAATAATATTTTTTAACAGTTTCCAATAGCCCAAACAATTCGGTGTTCGAAAATCTAGATTACGGCGAATATCGTTTAAACAATCTATATTATTTCAAGGCGAACTATTACCGTTTGAAGATACATTACATTATGCGATTAGGTCAACGTAAATCTAAACAAGTCAACGTAAATATAATTACTACAACCTTACTTACTAAACTGCTTTATTCTTTTTCTGAGAAATAAATATGTAAATAGTAATGTGAAAAATCCTTATCCTAATAGACTTTTCATAAAATACTCCACATGTTAAGACATGCAATATATAGGTTCATTAAAGACTGAGTATTTGTAAAAATTGTTCTTTAACTATATATAAACTCATAAGGATAATTTACATGTTCACATGTAATGTGATTACTGAAAGACACATTTTTTAATTTGTTCGATTATATTTTAATTCATTAATAATAATCGAATAAATGCGATTTCCACGCTGGACTTGTCTAGAACGTGAAGTGCAGGTTTTGCTCGACGACAGTAGAATCGCATAATATAAACATACCTCAATAAATCCTCTTTCTCGGGCCTTTGATCGTCTCCGACAAAGTAGTTAACTCTTGTAGCGGTAGCGGATCATCCATTTCCGAGCACCGAAATCCGGGCTCTATTTAAAACTGTTAACTAACAGTTTGAAATTCACTAGAGACTTGTCTAACAAGATTGTCGAATGTATTCAATAGAAGAATATTTCTTACGTCCCCGTATGAAAGGCTCGACTCTTGTCAACGTGTTTGTAAGAAAGCTTCTTATATTGAACAATAGTGATGTTTCATACATACCCGTAAGTTTTATCCTCTATGGAATAATTCTGTGCTTGCAAGTGAGCAAAACGAGATGCGGATGGTCGACTACTGTCTTCCTTTTGCAAATAACCTTTACTCATTGCAAGTTTTAAAGCTCCGCCGACGCCATGCCCAAGAGATGGTTCGGCATCCAAAATGGCGGCTTCCATTGCTACCGGTTCAGATGTACTTTCATCTATTCAGAAAAAATTGCAAGTTAAAATCGTATTAAAAAAAATAAATAAATTGCAAATTTAGATTCTGTAAAATATATGACATGTTTCAGAATTCTGTAATTGAAGCTGATACAAATACCTAGTTGTACAGTATTCCAAGCGCCACGACCATCATCTTCTTCTTCATTCATAGGCGGCTCTTCCTTGATCCCGTCCATTTCAAAGTCCTGACATTTTAATAAAATATGAAAGCGTAAAACATAATTTAAATCACATTTACAATACAAAAGAATAGGCAAAAGACTTCTAATTTTAAAAACTGATGCATTTCTAATACCATAAGTTCTTGACCATTTTCTTCTCTGTTTCCAGCGAGACCATAAGTAGGAATATCTCCTAAGGTACGGCAAAACTCTGCGGTAGCATTCAGTACAATATTTCCGGATTGACTTTCTTCTGAATTTGTGGGTTCTTGTTTCATAGTTTCAACAACCTTTTCTATACTTGACAAATGCATTTCCTTCGAGAGCTGTGCTTTTTTTAATGTCAATTGTAGTTCAAGATCCTTATCATCGTCTTCCAGTTTTACTCCACTGAGATCTTCGGCAGGAGCTTAATTAAAGGATTAATACATTTTTATTTATAAAGTTAGTAGTAGCACGGTAAATAAAATTGTACGAGATACACGTTAACCGTACCTCCTAAATCATCTACATCTAAAGTGTCATTATCTTTTACTTCTTCTGGTCGTTTACTTCTTCTGCTTCCCAAGTCTCGAAGATAATCATTATCTTCAGGAATAAGGTCATCTGCTTTCAATTTTTTTCTCATTTTACGAATCTACAAAAGGATAATATATACAAATTATTTGTAATTTTTTCTCTTGGGTACCTAATTGTAAAGATTTACCTTTTTCTTTGGTTTCTTGAACTTTGCAAGTTCTTCATCATTGTAGTACTCACTAGCTAACTTTGGTTCTATTAATTGTAACGATTCTAATCGTTTGTTTGCCAAACGTTGCTTCACATAATCAAGCTTTGATTTGTTGATATCTTTGTGCTTCAGTCCCAGTACGAAATTATCTTTTTTTTCACCCTCAATCTCTTCGTCATATTTTTCCAAAATAGTCTTTTTTGGAAAACCATATTCATCAAAATTGTCATCATCATATGCATCATATCCGGGTTTCTTGGTCTTATTCAATATATTACGTTGGTAACGCTCTTCGTCAGTTATGTTGACATTGACAAGTACATCTTCTCCATCATTCAATACTTCTTGATCTTTTAAAGTTAAGATTATTGTTTTACCCTCTTCAAATTTTTCCTAGATGATTAAAAATTGTATTACATTCAATTATTATGTATAATAAAACAATATACATATGTAAATACTTACTATATTATGCTCTACTTTAAGACCCTTTAAATTTTTTTCAGTATAGGCTGTGTTACGTGCAGTGTGTATTTCCTCCTTCACTAGATTTCCAATTCCAAACTCTTCATCTAATTGATCCAACATTTTTGCCTTAAATGAAAAAATGGAACATTTAATATCTAAGCTGCTATCACTTTATCAAACATCAAACAATTCTCACAAAGGATACACACCCTTTCTTCAGCTTTTTTCTTTTCTTCCTCCAAACGTCTAGTCTTATCAATCCAAGCTTTAGTGTCATCATCAGACTCACATTCACCTAAACTTTTTACCTTAGATAAATTGGCTTCAATTTGTCTTTTCTGTTTCTGAGTACCAATTTTCTCCTTCAACTTCTGTGTCCTCAACTTTTCATTGACATCAGGAGCAGGTTTATGATAAAACTCTCCCAAATCATCTTTAATCTTATTTGGATCATCTTTAGGAGTGCTATCAACTTCTAATGGTTTTAAACCTAATTTTGCGCGTAACTTATTTGTCTCTTCAATAGACAAAGAAGTCTGTGTTGCACCTCCTTTAGTTGGTGAAGGACTGCGTTGTTTAGAAATTTCTGGTGGTGGAGGTGTGGATGGATGTGATGACTTAGAAATTTTTGGTGGGGGTGGAGCATTAACTATCTCGACTGAAACGAAACAAACGAAGCATTAACTGATACTAAATACGATATGCTCACCATAAAAAATGCTTATGTACCTATGGTAAGATATAAATATTATTCGCTTCAGTTCCCTCCGAATTATTTAATCTTCAGACTGCAAAATGCGTTTTTGTCGATGTGATACGAGATATTTTCGAAACCAGAGAGGACCGAGACGAACCGAATTGAAAGCGTATAGCTTAATGAAACTGCTCGTAAACAATTACATTAGGGGAATATATGTTGTACGATAGATTTGCAAGAACCGCGCGTCACCGTACAATGTATTTCTAATACTTTAAAAAGGAAAGAATCAGATAATAACCATCGCTATCATAATCCTTCCGCTCTTTCCTCCTATGCTTTTTGTGATGCCTGTGCTTTTCCGATTTCTCGCGTTCAGGCGTGTAACTTCGTGATCGGCTACGGTGACGCTTCTTCTTCGCGTCCCGACTCTTCTCAGTTTTGTGCCGTTTATTCGAACCCATTTCTCAGTCTCCAATTCACAACTGGGAATATATAACCTCCTTTAATCTTAATTCTTTTTAAACACAAAATATCGAACAATTTCACTGAATCGGTTAATCCTGTTCCAGTCAGCCATATTATGCATCGTATAAGTAGCGGTCAAAAGTAAGTGCCAACTTTCTTTAATAATATCAAAATCCCTATAAAAGAAACCACCATTCACATTGTGACCATTTGAACTTGAAGATATTTGCATGATGTAAAATTAATTATTAGTATACTAATTTTTCAATTAATACGACTTAGTCATTAATCACTTTCAGTTTTAGTGATTTTAATAATTATTTAACTTCTTTAACGAATAAAGCTACCAGTTAAAGTTACCAGTTATTACCTACTTTAGAGGTGTCTACACTTACCATGTTGCAATCTTATACAGTTCAGTAGTTGATTGTTCAATTCAGGTAGAGTCCGCTAGTGCATTGGAGCATTTTTGACGGTGTCGGTATTTCAAAACAGTATACAGAAAAGTACATTGTATGCGCAGTCTGTACATATTTTAAATTTGGTATTGTATACTGGTTTATCATATTTATTGGTCAACTTCGATCATTTTCATATTCACCGTTTTTTAGGTGTAGAGATGAGAGCAAAACTTGTGATTTTTTACACAGTCGATAATTTAGAACATGTGCACTGAGTCCCATAAGCTTGCAATGTCTATCCTATACCTCGTCTGCGATAGCAACATCGCTCTTTAGCCATTTAAGATATTTTAGATTCTTTTTAGCGATGGAATTGATGAAGTTTTTGTTGGAATTAATTAAGTTCTAGAAATTCTTTGGTCTGGTTGTTAGCAATGACGAAAGTAAGTGCTATTCAAATTTTCGCGGTATTTTAACCCCTTAAGGGCTACTACATTTTCGCAGGTTAAGATAGGAACGGGAGTTTCTCATCTATGTTGATCAGTATGTATGGCTGTCAACGTGAAAATAAAATTGTCTTAACTGATTTCAACAACGCTGAGCTTGACCGTCGTTAATCAACTAATCGTGTATTCAAAAACAGAATAATCTTTTAAACATACTATAATTTGTTCCCTGTTACATTTTCGAAGTCACTTTGATTTTGTCATTGTTATTTCGAAGGATACAGTGTGTGAACGACTGGTGATTACACTGAGTTATTGAAAGCAATTGTCAATTTGAACATATCAGAAGCACAAGATTCGGCATTATGTGTGCGAAAATGGCTTTTCAGCACCAAGCTGGTACTGCTATGAAGTGCTTGAGCGTATGTATCATATTATTTAACTGCAATTTTTCGTATGCACGATAAGTGTTAATTCTTCATTTGTCATGTTTCTTTTGGGCGTTGTATTTCCCGTTGACTTAGTCATTACTTATATCTGTTAATAACAAGTAATCTGAAAATAATCTGTATTACAGATTACAGAATAATCTGTGTTATAGAAGGATATGATTCAGATAATTTGTTTTCAACTGATTTAGATATAACAATTGACATTGATATTGAATATTGTTTATTTAATACTTGATATAATATTTATTTTTTTCAGATACCAATAACATTACAGAAGGAGATGGAAGTGAATGAAAATGGAGAAAAAGTAATGAAATGTGGTTTTAAGATTGGTGGCGGAATTGATCAAGATTTTAGGAAAAGTCCGCAGGGTTACACAGATAATGTATGTAATACTATTAAATTATATAGTGTTATAACCTTGTTATATATTCTTAGTAAATAAATCTATATACTTGACATTACATTATTATAGGGCATATACGTAACTGAAGTACACGAAGGATCTCCAGCAGCAAAAAGTGGTCTTAGAATGCATGACAAAATATTACAATGCAATGGGTACGATTTTACCATGGTCACTCATAAAAAAGCAGTATCTTATATCAGGAAGCATCCAGTATTAAATTTATTAGTAGCTCGCAAGGGTGTGACCAGTACTTAAATACCAAATGAATTATTTACATGATATAAGAGAAGTATTTATTTCACTTAATACACATTAACAAAGTCAATTTATTTGAGCTACATGTCTGCCAAATATCAGATTAGTTTGTAGCCAATAGTAAGATTATTTTAATTATTGAAAATTAAAAGAATTAAATATTGGATATTTTATCATCATCAGAAATAAGTGTCTAATATTCTAATTAAAAATAAGAGAACAAAGTTAATTCAATCACATTAGGTGGTTATTAAAATGTTTAATTTGCAGGCATAATATCCATCTTTCATTGCAGTAGAATTAGAGTATTAGAACAATAGATTGATATATATGTATAAAAATCCTGTTATGGTTCGTTATTGTTGTTAAAAAGAATAATCTTATGGAAGTGTTTTCCTTATAACATCACATGACAGTTAGTGCTATTTATCATGTACAATTATGCTTGAAGAAAACATAATTTACATGTGCCTGCTTAAAAATTATACTGTATAATGTTTATTGTATATCAAAATTTACAATAATATTTCGTGTGCCAAACAGTAATTGCTATCACGGAATCCATATGAATATTTCTTAACGCCATGTATATATTTATACATAAAACGAGTTTCATAGGAGAAAGTTCAGTTGAACAAAAATATCTCTTGTTTGATTCAAACAAAAGAAATAATAGTATGGATAAGAGTCATAATATTTTAATTCTTTAAGTATTTCTATATTGTAAAATATAACAAAAATGCCAAAGCATAATGAAGTTACACTAGTTTAAATACACAGCAATACTTTTTACAAAATTTATATGTCAGTATATTATTGTAAGACAAGTACAGAATAACTTCGAATTTAATGCATTTAAAACGTTGCATTTAATAACTAAAACAATCATACAATAAACATTGTTTTTAATACTTTCAATAAGTACCACATTTACTGTACAAGTTATTTACGTGAATGAGTGAGGATACATACAGCTTCTGTATTTGTAAGCATTTGTAAAACATTTTCGTTACTTATTGGAATAATACAGAAAGTAATTGAGAGTGTACACCTTAAGATTAATAGAAGAATTAAATTTTCTATTTTGTACATCTTTTACTTTGACCGATACTGAATATTATGAATGCATTTTCGGGTGCGCTTTTTACACATAAGAGAAACAACATTGTATTTCACGTTTTTTAAATTGGCTTCAAATGTACAATAAGTGAAACAAAAGGAAAAGTTCCTGTGACACGTATGACTTTCTTTTGTATCCTGATATTTTTAATATAATTACAGTGCAAATGTCGGATCGTTTTATAAGAGATAATATAGTATGTTATCACGTTTTTATAACTAGTCTGCTAATATGAATGTTAAAAAGGAACAAGAAATCGTAGAATATAAATTATTATGTGTGCGACCACTATGCATGTATGTAGTCATTTAAGATTCTTTGTATAGAGCTCCAATTCGAAAAATTACATGCATTAGTTTAACCAATATACAGATCTACATTTATATGAAAAGTATATGTTATTTATTACCAAAAACATGATTAATATAGAAAAATGCGAAACGAATGTGTGTGTTATTTAATTTAAATATTTTATCTGCTCGAATAACATTGTATTACAGTGCATTATATATCATATGATTTAAATAGACTTTTTATCTGAATTAATATCATGGTTCATAAAAACGAAAAGTAAGGCTTATAAGTAAATTCGATAAATTTCTAATGAAGCATAAAATCGCTTCTCTCTCGACTTTTTATTCTCACTTCTATTCGTTAAGTTCGTAAATTAGAAACACGCAAATGTTACTTAATTTCTCAGTAGATGTCGCTCGTATGCCATTTCCCGCGGTGTTCGATATAAGCCTAGTTGATAATACCGTGATTGTCAGTTGGTACACTAAGTATTCACTGACAAATTTAAAAGTTTCGGCTTAGTGTTTTATTAATATAATTAAAAATAAACATTAAATTTACAAAATTGCGACAATTAAACGATCAGTATACAAAATTTGAAAGCAAGAAGAAATTTGGAAGGTAGTTCTAAATTTACTCGAAATTTATATTCGTTTACGACTGAAAGAAAAATCGATTGGTCTCGTCTCACCACGAAAACCTTCCAGAGCGTAAATCTGTAGAAATCACACTTTGAATTTTGTTGTTATTGAGCAGATTTATTGCGTGATACATTGTATTTTATTGTAATTTAAATATTTCACTTTCTTATATAACATAATTATCAATCGGTAAATTTTTTGTAAGCTTATTTACGTTGGTATGTTAGTTTTACGATGAAGAACATTTATCAATGAATAAGTTGATCCTTGGGCGTCATCTATGGTACACTGACGCACGTGACACCACATCCGTCATTTTAATTTGTAATAATTCAAATTGTGAGATACGATGTTTGAGTTAGTTTCTCCTTTGAGTATACGCAGAAAAACTACTTAGATACTATAGTATGTTTTCTTATCTTAAACCATATTGCAAAGGAGTATAGTGATGTTTGTATTTTGTTTTTTTAATGTTTTCTATTGTTTGGGAACAAGTTTATTGTATGATCTATACTCTATTTAATAATATCTAAAAACGATTTAAAAAAAACATTAATTTGCAATTATACAATTTAACATTTGAAAATGTATTAACTTATAATCATTTTGCATTACAAATACAATATCTTTCTTATGAATTCATATTGTACATTAAGAATGTAAATCTAATATATGTATTTAATAATTGACTTTTGTAATAAATCATTTTATTTATCATGCATTACTTGTAAATTATTGTAACAAAGTTTATGGATAAAATTACTGTAAAAAAGTATATTGAATCCATAATTAAATAAAAATGTGAATAAAAAGAATATTATGTATTATTATATGAAAATATCATAACATAAAGAATAATATAATTTTTACAGCTCGAATGGGTAATAATACCTCCAAAAACAAATACTACAATAATCAGAAGTATACCAGTCAGGTATATATATTTTAAAATTATTATAACCTCTGTAGCTTTAAACAGTATTGTCAATTTAATAAATATATAATATCTTATTATATACCTCTTAATGAAGAATAATAAATGTTTCAATTTTTTTTTTATATAGTATAGTCTTAGTGATCTAATTGGTGGAAGTTGTGTTGGGACAACACATTCCACAAGTAAAGAATCTAAGTCATGGTCCCGTACTTCGAATAAAAGGTAGTCTTATTAGGTTCCTAAATGCTGCATATCTTGTATTATCAATACATTGACTTTGTAATTTTTAGTTGGAGTGAAGGTACATTGTATGAATCATTTGGTACTTCAAAAACACATTGGCCAGTATCACGTTCTCAGGCCATGTTCCTTCCAGAATTTGAAATAAGACATGTACCTTTGCAAAGTACTTATAAGCTTATATGTGTAATAGCAAAAGGAGCATATGGAAAAGTATATAAAATTCTGAAACAAGATACTGGGCAGATTTATGCTTTGAAAGTAATTAATAAAGCGAAAGTTGTTACAGAAAATGGCATAATACAGGCAAAACAAGAAGTACGTATGAAATTACTTATTAACTATATGCTTATTAAAAAATAACAGTATAATTTGAATGAACAAGTTCTTTTAGGTTGCCATTCAGAAGCTTGTTGGTCACCATCCATTTATATTAAGTTGCACGCATAAATGGCAAGGAAAGAAGACATTATATATATGTATGCTTACAGTTAATACATTACTATTAATTATTATCAAATATTATCTATAACACTCGTTTATTACAGTAACTGATTATGTTGGTGGAGGAGAATTATATTCACTAATTGAAGAATGTGGCTCTCTGCCTGAAAATGTAGTTAGAATATATGTAGCAGAAATTGCTCTAGCTATTGGTACGTGTATTTTATATGCAACTCATTTTATATAAAAAAATCTTTTAATTGTCTCTACATTTTATAAACAGATTTTTTGCATAATGCTGGTGTAGTACATAGAGATATAAAAGCAACAAATGTTCTTTTGGATGAAGAAGGTCATGCTGTAATTATTGATTTTGGTCTCGCTAAATGGCTAAATCATGCTGAAAGAACAAATACACTTTGTGGGACTCCTGAATATATGGGTAAACATTGAAATACTGTTTGAATGTTAAAATAATATTACAAACTATATATATTTTTATTAAATGCAGCACCAGAAATATTGAAGAGACAATATTATGGACAGGAGGTAGATTGGTGGTCACTAGGAGTCTTGACTTGTTTCATGCTGACAAATCAGGTATGTGATATGCTTGAATTTTTCTCTTAAAATAATTTAATGTAGGTATGGCTATAGCTATACTTCTTGAACTTATTATTTTACCAAAAAATATTGAAAAGATAAATATACAATTATTTGCAAAATATATATATATATAAGTGCAAATTTCAGTTGACTTTATTATAAATCAATCTTGTATACGTTTGATTATATCGAAATAGTGTTATTTTCTGTTCATGAACCTTTCGAAGAAGACGTACATCAACTGACTCCGTGGCGCAACGGTAGCGCGTCTGACTCCAGATCAGAAGGTTGCGTGTTCAAATCACGTCGGGGTCAATTTGTCTTTTTTTCTTTGTGTAAATTTTTATTTTTCCGCGATTAAATTATTTCTAATTATTACATTTATTTCTTAATAATTGTAAATTATGTATACCTAAATATATATATATAATTATCAGCGGTAGAATTATGTTTAATAAAGACATATTAAGTTCATTAATTTATTAGTACAATTTTTTATTTGCAAAACTATAACTGTTTATTATAGCATGTCCCAAAATGTTATTTATTTGGGAATGCATTAGACATTATTAAATATAAAAAATTTTAAATAATTATTTTTAGTGTCCTTCAGATGAATGAGTATATAGTTAATAGAATTTTGTTTTATTTACATCTATGGAAATTCTTAAATTGTTATATTATTGAGAAAAGTTATGTTCATATATTAAAATATTGTTATCAATGTGAAAAAAAAATTCGCCCCCGGGTGGGCTCGAACCACCAACCTTTCGGTTAACAGCCGAACGCGCTAGCCGATTGCGCCACGGAGGCAATTGGTTCTGAGTTTTATTTTAGCCTTTCTTAAATTGATCTATTTTCTTCTAATACTTTATATTATTTATTATCACGATGTTACAATTTTTATGTCATGTATGTCATGTCAGTTTGACCAGTTATTAACAGCAAATGGTTTTTAATGCTTTGTATTAATCGAAATTTGAAATAAAGACCAGGTAAGTACTAACACAAATATGCAATGAAACGAAACAAATTAATAGAAATAATGACTCGTACCGATCATATTGCATAACTGTAGTATTCAACACATATGAATTATTTATATTTCTGCTCTTCTTCCTTTTTTGAATGGATATTACTTTTATTTGAAAATAAAATTTTTTTTTGCTTAATTAACAAAAACAATTTTTCGAGATAATTGACGATCTAAATAATCCCTCTTTCTTATTTGTTCTTCCGAAGTCATAGAATTTATAAACGTATGACTTCTAAATTATACTGAGATTATTAGAAAACTTAGAGTCTTTGTGTACAAAATCGCGTAAACCAGAAGACCAACGTATTGACTGTAAAAATATTCATTATTCGCCCTATTGCTACGAGTATTATTCTCATGTTTCTTCGTTAAAATGCTAAGTATTATTTTTATGTAGAAATCAAACATTTTTCTGTGTTTTTCGTCGCCGACCAACCGTGACCAAAATGGCGATCACGGTTTCATAGTAAATAGCGAACGTCCGAAAATGTACGTCACGTGACCATTCCACCGCGAACTTTCGTCGGTCGCGATATCGCGGCATGTCTCGTTCACCTCGATCTTGCGTAAAACTATGCGGAGACATGAATCGAAGAAACCAAAGAGCGTATCCCGTCCGTTGCAAAACCCTTCACGCCTTGACATTTCGCCGGGTCCACTCACCTCTGCTATACCCGACTGTTTACAAAAGCGTGTGCCCGAGACACGATAACTTTTCATTCGGCCTTTGATGGAATCGATGCATCGCGATGCATCGCGGAGAAATGTCGTGGTCGGCCAATCGCGCGAATCTTCTCGTGCATTGTGCAACCGCATTCCCCCCGCGGACAGGACGGTTCGTAACCATTTTCGCGATGCAAATGTTCACGTCAGGAAGAACGCCGTCTTAGAATCATGATCCGTTTTGTTAAAAGGAAAGAAAAACCGTTTCATCGAAGCTATGCGATTCGCGCTGTGTTTTCAACGAACTTCGACGCATACGAGAACGAATTTAAATTGCGAGACGCGTGTCGTCGCCGATTGTTATTTCTTTTTCGCGTTGCTGTGACGGTCACGACTGCGACGATCGGAATGCGCGCGGAATCGATATTAACGCCGCGCGTCGTGTTCCACCTCGATCTTCGGCTGTCCATCATGTTTCGTGCGACGAGTTACGATCGCGTGGAATTTTTGTTCCCATCGGCGAAGCGCGTAATTCTGGTGGAGATGTTAGATTGAACACCGGTCTTGACAGTAATAATAATGATTATTATTATAACGATGATAGCAATAATACAAATAATAATAATAA